TAAAAGTATTTTTATTCTTAAAATGAAAATTACTTTCCATGATAGATAGGCAAGATGCAAAAAAAAAAGGCATGAAAGAAACATTGCTTTACAAACCTTATGACTTAATAACAAAATTAGATATTTTGTATATAAAAGCATTGTAATGTTTACTGATAATCTGCCAAGCTTTATTAACATTCGCTTATTAATTTAAAGGTTATAGCATTAAAACTATAACAAGCACAAAATGGTTACGAGGTCAGTCCCAGGGATCGATCCCGGGCTGAAAGAGTCAATCAATTACCTATGGGCATCAATTAGATCAATTCGTGTCACCTAAAATAACTAATTATTTAATTTGATTTGATTAAATAAATTAATGCCATGAAAATAATCAACTAATAAAAACCTTTTTCAAGTATTACTATTTTTGATTAATTCAAGGTTGTTGAGCATAACTGATTAGTGTCATGACTTATGAAAATAATAAACTAATCAAAATTAATGTTTCTGATTAATGCTATTTTTGATTATTTCAACTACAATACTGATGTCTGAAAAATCAATTATCAAATGTTATTTACCCTCTTGATGAATCCTTTACTGTACGTCACAAGGTATTTAGTTAGTTACATTCAAAATTTAATTAACTATTTTTTGTTAATGTTATACCAATAAGTACAGCATAAAACATAGCTAATAATCAATATTTTAATATTATACAAGTTTTAAGTTCTTACTTTTATAAGGCAACATTAAAAAGAAATCTTGAATTTCCCCTAGTGTGAGAATTGTGACTTTCTCTCTAGGCATCCCCTCTTCTCTAATTTATTTACCACCCCCTTCAAGAAGTACAAAATTTGATGTAAATTACTCATGATAATGTCATCAATGCTCAGGCAAAGCATAATTTTTATATCCTTTAATCTTATTTGGTTACAGAGCCATCAAATAGAAAATCAGACCTCTCTTGCTATGCCCACCTGTCACATCCTCTCTTTCAGAAGGTGCCAATAGTTCTCTCTGAAGTTCAATACTATATTATTTATAACCAACAAAAGGGCAAGATTTTCATCTATCAAATGACACATTACATTATGTTATTTTCTGTACAGAGAATTGTCAATTTCACTTTCAGTTCAAGCTTTATTCCACGAGAAACATATCACTAACTTAGATGAATTTGTAATAGCTCTTGTCGCACAGTTAGAAAATCAGACAAATTGTGGTAGTTATGGGACATTGTCTGCTTTTTGTATGTTATTTTTCTGCATTCTTTGGTGCATTATTTAATTAAATAAAAAAATTATTTGGTGCAGTATTACCGTTAGTATAAAAAAGTAGGGTTAAGTGTCATCAACAGTTGAGAGCAAAAAAGAAAAAAAGGATCAGATAAGTACTTTATTTCTTGTTTTTCACGTGTATTCTTTATTTGTTATTATAAAAGTAACTAAGATGTAAAAATAGGAAATTTTAAATCAGTTAAGGTTAGATTAAGTAAAATAAATAATCATTTATAATATAGTCAAAATGTTTCCCAAGGTATGCTTGTAAACAGCTCAGAATAGCTTTTGCACAATGTAATTTGACAGCATAACTTGAGCTGCATGTTTGTCAAGTGATTTACAATGGCATGAAGAGTAGTTGGACAGGTGTCAAAGAGCAATAAAATTTAAATATAAATAGGTGTATACTGTTATGAGTTTAAAACTATTTAAGATACACAAATGTAGTTTCATGTAACAGTATGAAATCATTCTAGAAAGAAAAAAGGGTAATTTAGATTTATTTCATGTATACTGTTGAATTTAAAGCTATTTAAGATAAACAAATTGGTTTCATGTTATAATATGAAATCATTCTAGAAATAAAAAAGGGTAATTTAGATTTATTTCTACATTTTGTGGGGGTTATGAGGTCAGTCAAATTGACCAACCTTGTATAGAGTTAGGGTACAGAAAATAACAGATACAATAAAGTTTTACCAAAAAAAAACGTTTGAAATTTATTTAGGAGGTTTTAGAGATTATGCAAATGAAATTTAAGATTGAGATGGAGAAAAATATTTTTAATCTTAATGTGGAAATCACTTTGCACTTGGAAAAGTATATATAAAAAAAAGACTACATATAAAGATACACATACTGCATTAACTCTTCCAACATGGGGTCAGTTGATTTGACCGAGTCACGTGACCTTCTGTACTCGTTTAAAGTTGACATAAATTTAGTACTTATAACTCTATATATATTGGGTATATCTTCACGAAATTTGGCGATCTTTCAGTTAATATTACAAGTCTTTCACATACAAAATGTCATATTTCTTAGTGAAGTACTTTTACTAAAATAAAATAAAGTTTTGTCCATGAATATATTGAGTATTTGTTTTGAATAGTCCGTGTGCAAAGTAATTTTCATGTTAAAATTAAAAATATTTTTCATCTCAAAAATCTCAAATTTCCTTTGTGTAATCCCCAAAACCTCCTAAATGCATTTCAAATGTTTTATTTTTACTAAATCCTTACAGTTTATGTTATTTTCTCTAACATAATCTCAAAACTGGATCAGTCAATTTGACCAACCTCGTAACCACAAAAAAAATCTAAATGAACTTAAATTAACCTTCTTTTCTTTCTAGTAAGAGTTCAGATTGTAACCTGAAACTACATTTGTGTATTCTAAGTAGCTCTAAGTTCGTAACGTTATACATCTATTTATAATTAAATTTTATTGTTTTATTGCCCTTTGAACCGTGTCTGTCCACACCGTTATAAGTTGTAAATTACTCAAGGAACGTGCAGCTCACGTTATGCTATCGAATTACATTATCAACGAGCTGCTCGCATGCTTCGTGAACAATTTTAATTATATTATTATTACTTATTTTACCTATTCTAGTCTTAAATAACTTAAAAAGATCTGTACTTTTAATTTTAGTTACTTTTATAATAATTAAATATGAAAAACAAGAAATAAAGTACTTACCTAATCTTATTTTTTCTTGCGCTCAATTGTCGAGTAGAGTTAAGCCTGTTTTTTTTAGCGATTATAGTAAAGCACTTAATTTTTAATTACTTAAATAATACACCAAAGAATATAGACTAATATGCAAAAAGTAGACAAATTCACTTACTTCTAAAAAGTTTCCTGATTTTCTGACTATGAGACATGAACCGTTACAAATTCATCTAAGCTAGTCATTAACTTTCCCATGGGAATGAAGTTGCTACTTAGAGTGACATTGACAGTTATCTGTTCAAAACACAATGTTATACAATACAACATTTGATAGATGAAAACTTTGACTTTCTATTGGTTATAAATAATATATAATGAAACGTAAAAGAGAACTATCAACCAATTGTGAA